GAGGAGGAGGAGGAGAAGGAGGAGGAGGAGAAAGGGGAGGAGAAGGAGGAGGAGGAGGAGGAAGGAGGGGGGGGAGGGGGAGGAGGAGGGGGATGATGGTGATTATGATGTGGGCCCTGAGCAAGGCCCCCAGGCTTTCTGCCTGGCCTTAGCAGCACCTACAACGAGGGAGGACCCAAGAGACATTGTCTTCAGCCACTGCCAGTGCTGCCACCAGGGAGGATGAGGTGGGGCCTGGGGTCTGTTCTAGGAGTCTCCATGGGCTTTGGCTGGGACACCCTGTGTTTGCTGTTGTGGAACATTCCAGCTTCTGTCATCAGGCATTTCATATTGCTGTGGTGATAACTGGAACCTCCTGCAGACTTGAGTGGGTAGCTGTATTCCACAGTAGTGTTGTCGGGAAGTGGCCCACGTGCTGGTCCATCTTCCCATGTGTGCTGGTCTCTCCATATGGGTTGTATTTGTGTGCTAGTGAGAGTGTGGTTGTCAAAAGTAATAAGATGCAGACTTCCACAGGAGGCACCTGCCTAGAGCCACCTATTCCAAAACCACCCATGTATGTTCCCCTTCCCTCCTGCTTTCTCTTTTTTCAAAATGCTGGAGTGCAGTGGGGGCCCCTGGTGCACTGAAGTACTCTGGCTGCTGACCAGGCCTGGTGGGTGGGCAGCTCCAGCCTCACTGAGCATCTATACTCTTGTCCTTGCAGGTCTTGCTGTAGGTTTGGGCTTTGGGGCACTGGCCGAGGTTGCCAAGAAAAGTCTACGCCCTGAGAGCTCCACAGGTGAGCAGGGGCCTCCATAGGAGGCGGGAGGGCAGGACATCCAACCCATCAGCCTGCCTATGTTCCAGGAGTGTTGAGTCCATATAGATTGTGTTCCTGGGGCTGAGTGCTGTTCATATGGATAGATGCACCTGCTTTAGAGGATTGGAAGCTTGAAGGCTGCTTCTTCAGCCCCAGCTGGTCATCCAGCCCCTTCTTGTTCCCTTTGGCTCTCCACACCCATGGCCACCACCAACATACCCACTTTCAATCTCACATTTCCTCTTGCACGCCCACTGTCCGTCTCCTCTCCTGCTCTGCTCTTCAGCCTGAGTCCGCATGGCCTGGTCAGGTCAGGAGTACGGGGCTCCCTGCTTCCCTGTGGGTAGGAATGTAGGCATCTGGGACAGACCCACAGTGCCCTGCTTTTGCTGACCATGACCCAGAGAGGATGGAACCTCTCTAGAGTCTGTTGGTCTCTGAGACAAAGATCACAACATCTCTGTTCTCTGCCCCCCAGGTCAGGCCCAGAAGGCATGTCTGGAACAGGCAAACAGGTGTCACTTGTGGCTATGAAGTCTAGAGAGTGTTCTGTATTCAGGTCCCTCAAAAGCCAAGGGGGTTCCTGCTGCTGGAATACTGGCTGGGGAAGAATCTGTGAGATGCCATACGCCCCCTCCAAACTTCTCCAGAGACAGGTGGCTGGGAGTTCATCCAGCAGGGCCTTTGGGGCTCCAGGGCTGTTGAGAGCTGTTGGTGGATTTCCCAACTTGTATTTGAAGTTCTGGGGTGGGCAGCCCTGCCCTACCCACTCTAGGAGTATCAACTTATTAAGGTTCCTCACAGCTCTCTGTCCTCTTCCATCTGGACCTCTTGATAACCACAGTCCAGACTCTGCTGGGACCCAAGGGGGACATGCCAGCCCCCCCAGACAGGTCCTCTTCACTCATGGGGTTATCTCATCTGGAAGAAGGCACAGCCATATCCCTAGCAGTCCCTGTCTTGGGATGGACACCCTGTGTGTCCTTGGAAGGGGTCTAAGGACAGAGGATTAACATAGGTATTTTTAGTGCTGGTGCTGAAACACTTTGGGATGTGAAGGCTGTGTTTCTCTGCGTGAGAAGTCAGCCTTTCTAAGGCCCAGCACCCCTCCTGGCCCCTGGAGCTGGCTATTCATCTCACCTTGTCCAAGCAGAGAAGAGGCCAGCCTGGTTCCAAGGGTGCTGTTGGTGTCCTTTTTCAGGGACGGTGGTGACTGAGGCTGAAGGGACCCAGGTTCCATTAGCTTTGCTGATGTCCTAAGGCTTAGGTCAGGGTCCATGGACCTGGGTAGACCCTGAACTACTTAATACACCTTGGCATGCCTTGATTTTGAGGATGCTGACCAGGCTGGGGAGGTCTGTATCGGCCCTGTCCTTCATTGAACTTGCCACCATGTCTTTGACCTGTCCCGGCTGTTCCAGGTCATTCTGGGTAGGGGGCATGTCTCTAGCCTATGGGGATCAACCACATTTGGGGAAGGGATGCCTCAGGAGATGGGGACCCAGCAGAGGCGTGGTCTGTGTATAGACAGGGAACAAGGTTTCCTTCCACAGGCCAGGGAGGTGAGCAGGACAGGCAGCTGAGCTTCATGGAGGCCTAGTCTATCTGTGAAGCTACCCTTGTCCTCTGTAGATCTTGTCCCATTGTCTTAGGAATGAGTCTAACCTCAACACACCTGCCCCTGGGGCTGGCAGACTGATGGCTCTGCTCTCTAGCCCTTGTTAGCTCCTGTGCCCCCATTTGTCAGAGGCAGATTGGACTCAGCCTGGACAAGGGCAGTGGAATGGACACCGTCCTGTTACCTTGCTGGGCACTCAGAGCAGTCCCACTCAGCATTATGTATAGCACCTGGGCTTCATATTCCAGTGTTTCAGCACCAGCTCTAAACACGTCATTGCTTTTGCTCCTAGGCCTCCAGGCTTGTGGATGTATGCTGAGGGAGCTGCATATGTTCACAGTGAGGCACTGAGGGGCCAGAGGGGATAAAGCCAGGGTCTGGGCTTTTGACCCAGTAACTCACACAAGGCAGTAAAAACTCCAAATGTCACAGGGCCAGGGAAGACAGTGGGACCTGGCAGACCAGAACCTAGTTTGGGCCTGTCCCTCCCTCTTTAGAGGGTGGACTCCTTATATAGGCAGAGGCACTGATGCCCTTTGGCTACACTGATGGCTGGCTGCAGGATTCATTTGGCACGTGCAGGTCCCTGGAGTCATCTAGTTGCTGCTACCTCTACCCTGTGTACGGACAAGGGTTCATGGGCCAACTGTCTGTGCCAAGGTGGGGCAGAAGGAAGAAACAGTACCAGCAGAACATGTGCTGTCCTTGACCATGGGGCTTACTGCAGCCATGTAGGCCAATGTGGCAAGTACACAATGCTAGTGATACAGAGTCCCTTCATTTGGGATAGGTGGAGTAGAGGCTTGGCCATTCTCACCAGGGCACAGTCGAGGAGCCTCCTGATCTTTCTGCCAGATTTGCCCCACCTGTAGGGGAGGCCCGCTGGCCCTGGAGGGCTGTGGAGCATATACATGGGAACTTAAAATTGCCTTGCTGGTTCTGTGGACACCCAGCCATTGTGGACATTGCCCGAGCCCCTGTGCCAGGCTCCATGAAGGTTTCTTTCTGGCTACTCCTTGCCCAAAGTGTGTGCTGACCCCTCCTTCCCCACAGGGAAGAAGGCTGTGCTGGATTCCAGCCCCTTCCTGTCAGAGGCTAATGCGGAACGCATTGTGAGTACGCTGTGCAAGGTGCGTGGGGCGGCGCTGAAGCTGGGCCAGATGCTGAGCATCCAGGGTGAGTGCTGGGCTCTGTCCTTGCCCTGGCTTGTGGACATTGGGGTGTGGGCAGTGGTGGAAGGCACAGTGGGTATATGTGGAGAAGTGGGGAGATATCTGCTGTCCTGGGACACAGGGATGTTTAAAACATTGCCTTCAGCAGGAGCCAGGTCATGTTTCTTGCCTGAGTATTTTGAGAAACTCAGCATCGCAACTCAGCCCCTGCTGCCCTGCCATGTTGGCCACTGGGAGCTAGTGGAAGAGCTTGTAGCTCGGCTTTGGGGACCAGTGTGTGACCCCAGAGAGAGAAAACTTGGGCCAGGTGGAATGAGGAGCAGCAGCACTCGGGGAGCCTTGGGCTTCTCAATGGTGTTCGGTTGGCTCTGAGAGCAAGGTGGGCTTGTTACCTTGACTGAATTCAATACCTGGTGTCAGGTGTTGGGTGAGGGGTGCTGTCCGGGCAATGCAGCTGGACACAGACTTTCTGGAAGCTTTGTGTACGGTACCTATCTGAAGCCCAATGATGCTCACAACCTGCCTGTCTTGTGTCTGGGAATTTAGCTGACAGAAAACTCATCGAACTGGGATTACAGCATGGGATCCCAGGGCAGCAGCAGCTATAGGGCCAAAAGCAAACAACGCAGGCTGTTGAATGGTGAGGGCCTGTGTGGGGATCCAGCCATGCTTAACACTGCTGCTCCCAGGACCTTTGGAACAAACACCTGGGGGATGGACTCTTGATAGAACACTGCCTGAGAAAACTTACTGTGTCTGCACAGGGCCACTCTGGGTAGGAAAGAAGTGTATAGACAAAAGATAGGAAGCACTGTTTTTTATCCAGAGGTAGTCAGATTATGGGCAATTTTAATATTCTATAATCACAAACTTTACCCCCCTCTCAGGTCACAGGGATAAGTTCAGGGCTCCTTGCTGCTCTTCTGGAGGGGAGGGCTACTGTGCACTGGGCATACTGGCTGGAACCTTGAATTGGCTGGTATCCTACTGCATGCCCACCCCAGCACAGAAGGCCCCTGTCTGGAGTCTGTGTACCAGGAGGCGGCTGAGTGTGGGTTTGCTGTGTAGCCTTGGTCTGTCACTTGGGTCTAAGCTTCAGGTCCCAGAGTGAGGGAGGGGGAAGATAGCATGGTGACCTTGTTTCATCCAGGAGGCCACACTGGCAAGGGCCACCTTGGCAGTCCTGTTACTGGCCTGTGAACCCCTCCAGAGGGAAGCTCTCTCTGACTTATCTCATGTCTTGCAGATGATGCCTTCATCAATCCCCACCTGGCCAAGATCTTTGAGCGGGTGAGGCAGAGTGCTGACTTCATGCCGCTGAAACAGATGATGGTGAGGCTGGTGGGAGGTAGGGGAGTCACCTCCTGGCCTTGAGGATCTTTCTAAAGACCAAGCTCCTCAGGGTGCCCCAGGCTGTGCTGATGTTTTCCCTGGACTCTGCAGAAAACCCTCAACACCGACCTGGGCCCCCACTGGAGAGACAAGCTGGAGTACTTTGAGGAGCGGCCCTTTGCAGCTGCTTCCATTGGGCAGGTGCACTTGGCCCGTCTGAAGGGTGGCCGTGAGGTGGCCATGAAGATCCAGGTAGATGGTCCTGTGTGGTGTGTGCCTGTCCTCACAGGGCTGCAGAGGGTCAGACCAAGGCCCTGTGCTGGGGCCTCTCCAATGTCTCCTGGGGCACCCTCTGTCTGTCCTTAGTGCCTGGGTTCTGGGGGATGGAGCAGTTTCCCAGCAAGCCTGGTAGAAGATGGCCTAAGCTGAAGGGAGGAACCCTGAGCCAGGAGCTATTCCTGAGGGTAGGAGTGTGAAGTGGAGCAGTATGGTGCTAGGTTAAGTCACACAGCCTTGAGTCTTAGCTCTGTCTCATCCAAGTTGAGGGGTCTGGCCAGGCATGACTTGAAAGCTAACGGGCAGAGATAGCCTGCCCTGCTTCCTGCCCAGGTAGTTCTCCTTCCTTCCCTGCAGTACCCTGGAGTGGCCCAGAGCATCAACAGTGATGTCAACAACCTCATGGCTGTGCTGAACATGAGTAACATGCTTCCAGAAGGTCTGAGGCTGGCTTACAAGCACAAGGTGGGAGGGGGTCGCCCTGTAGAGTCCATTATCCCTCCTAATCGTCATCTTTGGTACAGGCCTCTTCCCTGAGCACCTGATTGATGTGCTGAGGCGGGAGCTTGCCCTCGAGTGTGACTACCAGCGGGAGGCTACCTATGCCAAGAAGTTTAGGTGTGGCTCTTGTGGCTCCTAGCTTGTGGGGCCCCTGGGAAGCAGAGGGCCACCTGGGTGGAGGAGGCCTCTATATCTCTAAGGGGGGATGGCCCTAAGGCCCAGGCCTGGCTACATCCTCCCCACTGTAGAGCAGGTCTCACTTGGTGGGCTTCTCATCTGAGGCTGTAGAGAACCAGGCTGAGTGCAAGCTTCCTCTCCATGTAGGGAGCTGCTGAAAGATCACCCCTTCTTCTGTGTGCCTGAGATTGTGGATGAGCTCTGCAGTCCCCACGTGCTGACCACTGAGCTAGTGACAGGCTTCCCCCTGGATCAGGCGGAAGGGCTGAGCCAGGAAGTCCGGAACGAGGTGTGTGGATGTTGGGCAGGCCTACTGTGCTGGCAAGTGTTGGAACCTAATGGTGTCGACAGAAACCCCACGGCCCTAAGCTCTCTGTGGGGAGGACAGCAAGAGCATGGTGGCTTCATCCTCCTGCAGGGGCAGGGTACTGGGACTCGGCCACTGGGGCCCCAGTTAGGGTGTAACTCAGGAGGCAAAGACTTTGTAGTTCACCAAGCAGTCTGACCCAGGCCCCTACCTCATCTTCAGATCTGCTACAACATCCTGGTGCTGTGCCTGAGGGAGCTGTTCGAGTTCCATGTCATGCAGACTGACCCCAACTGGTCCAATTTCTTTTATGATCCTCAGCAGCATAAGGTGAGCCCTGGCTTGAGCCTTATGTGGGGATATCAGCAGAGAACTGGGTGCCCAGTCCCCGAAGAGATCTTCTCCTTGCCCCATGCCTACAGGAGCCATAGGTCAAAACTTGTATCCCCATCTGCAGGTGGCTCTCCTGGACTTTGGGGCAACTCGGGAATATGACAGATCCTTTACTGACCTTTACATTCAGGTAAAGACAGGAACGGGACCTTGGTTCATCTGTTTCAGAGGCTTAGAGCCAATGCTGGGTATTCAGAGGGTGGGAGAGCTACCTAGGGCTGGCCACAGCCTGTCAGGCTCACACAGCAGGCTATGGCCCCCAGGCCAGGAGGCTGGAGGCAAGCAGGAGGGTCAGGGTGGCATAGGCTGGAGCTTCTCTGGGCCCTTGGGAGCCTTTTTATACTTCTATTTAGATCATCCGGGCTGCTGCTGATAGGGACAGGGAGGCAGTGCTGCAGAAATCCATAGAGATGAAGTTCCTCACTGGCTACGAGGTCAAGGTGAGTTGAGAGATGTAGTCCCAGCTCTCTGTAGGCATGGCTGTCATCTTTTGATGTATAGGTACCAGCTGCTCTTTGGGAGCCTGTGAGCCCTAGAGGCTTCCTTAGTCACGGCAGTCTGAAAACTGCACTCTGTGGGAAGCACACAGGCTGCTAGGCGGGGCAGGATTGTTCTGCTTAGGGGCTCCTAAATGCTGTGAAGCTGTTTCTGCTACCTGCCTACCTTTGCCATCAAGAGGCGGGGACGGGGTGGCTAGCTCAGGCAGGCAGAGCATCCAGGCCTTTAGATAAGGGGCCTGGGCTGAACCTCTTCACCTAGGAGATACAGGGAACAGCACTTGACTTTCCTTGACTCCTGGGTTCACACCTAGTTAGAGTGCACCATCAGGATGGGTGGCCCTTGCTCATCTGTTCTGTAAACAGCTCATTATTCTCACCTTCCAAGCTCACAGTGGGCAGCAGCTCCCATTTCTTGTATGACTGGCTTGATTTGTCCTCCCTGAGGGTCACTGCTCCACCCTTCTCATGCTTTGCTGGTGACAGTTACTTGTCACGGGCCCCATGGGAGACACTGAGTAGTGTGCTTGGTAGGTGACTATGGCTGTGTGGGAGGCCAACACTGGCAGCTTCCACTATAATCCACAGAACTGGTCAATTCTGTGGGCTCTGCTATTTTTGGCCAGAACAACTTTGTAAGGACTGAACTGAGTGCCATGTATAGGGCACAGACTCCAGCAGCATTCTACCTTATCTCTCATGGAGGCCAGTTACCAGTACTCCATCTTCCTGGCTTCTAAGGGTTGGAGCTGATGCCTGTTACCATCATAGAATTTAGTTAAAAAACAAAGCCGTAACTCTAATTCACCACCTCTGATGTCTGCCAGCTCTAGGAGAACTTGATGCTTAGGTCACTGTGGTAGGACCTGGGGCTGTGGGCTCCTGACCTGGTCACTTCTGTTCTTCCTCTTTACGCAGGCCATGGAGGATGCACACCTGGATGCCATCCTCATCTTAGGGGAAGCCTTTGCCTCAGATGAGCCCTTTGATTTTGGCACCCAGAGCACCACTGAGAAGATCCATAACCTGATCCCTGTCATGCTGAAGCACCGTCTCATCCCACCACCGGAGGAAACCTACTCCCTGCACCGCAAGATGGGTGGCTCCTTCCTCATCTGCTCCAAGCTAAAGGCCCGCTTTCCCTGCAAGGCCATGTTTGAGGAGGCCTACAGCAACTACTGCAGAACAAAGGCTGGGCTACAGTAGTCAGGGGCCAGGTGACCTGGGAGCTACACCTTCCTGCAGGCCCAGGCAAGCCTGGAGGGTGGCTGGTTGAGCAGGAGCCGGTGTGTACGGGGCGCTGGTTACCTTAAGAGTCAGCAGCCACAGGAGACCCCACTGTTGCCTCTGAACTGTGCAGACACAAAGGCACGCTTCTTTCGCCACCTCCTCCCTACCGCAGTGTTCACCAGGAATGAGGAGCGAACGGAAAGAGAAGCCAGCATGGCAGTGTCAGGGTCTAGTCAGCCGTGTAGAATGGAGCTGTTTCTAGTGAGCTTTGTGTCCCTACCCCTGCCCTTCGTAGTCCCAGCTTGTGGCCTGTAGCCAGGAGAATGTCTGAACAGTAGCCTGGTCCTGTGCAGACAGCCATGCTGGCTGGGTCTCAGTGTGGACAGCACAGCCCCTTTGCAAGAGCAGCACTCCAGTGTGCTCCTAGAGAGGCAGTTACTACCCAGTCCCAGGGCATCAGCACAGGCTCTGAATGTATTTACATCTTATAATTATCACATTTACTTCCATTCAATAAGAAAAAATAAAGTGCTTTAGAGACAGGCATTTTCCGTGTGCTCTGAATTCTGGGAATGAGGATGGTCCCACTCTCTCCTGTTGGTGGTCTTTCCCTGTAAAGGTTCTCTAATCCAGGCCCAGTGTCACAGCCTGTTTCCAGTGTGAGCTGTTAGTACATTGCAGAAGGCCACATTCACTCTAAGGGAAGAGGGTGTTTTCCCCCAACTGTTGACAGTGCTGCATGTAGCCACCTTTGCCACCTCTGCTGGCAGGGTTGTGCCAGGCCGGGTCATAGGGAAGTTAAACACTCTCCCAAATGGTTTTTCCGAGACAGCAGGATGGCTGGATGCTTGGGTGAGTCCTTCCCCAAGCCCTGTAACGTACTAGAAAACACTGCAGTGTTGTCCAGGAAGGTCCTCATCTAAGTCTTAAGAGCTTTTGAAATTTGCTCTGAAATTTGGGGTTATACTAACACCTAATTCACTGCTCACATGACAATGTCCCAAGGAGGCACTCAGTAGCAGATGCCCAGCAGTGCATGCCAGTCCTGTGCAGGTACAGGTGGGGCCCTCTTAAACATCATCCAGCACCTGCTAGCCCAGGTGATGCAGGATGCCCAGCTGGCCTTAGTTTCTTCCTCTGAACCCACATGCTGACTGACCTTTTATGGTGAGTTCTGCTCACAGTTACTGCCTCTAAGGCCTAGTGTGCATTACAATTGCCTGCAGCTCTGTCTGGTTAGAGGGGTCTGAGTGACTTTGCATACTTCAGAATCTGTTAAGATCACCCAGTGTCACCTGTGTGCCAACTCTTCTAAGTGGCTGTTCTGCCACAAGCAGATCAAGTTGTTCACAGGTACACACTGCGAGAGCCATTCAGGATGCTTACCTGAGGAGTGCCCGACAGCCTGAAACAATTATTGGGGTGTTCTGACCACAGGGAGCTGAAATCTGAGGAAACAAGTTATTCCTGCCTGAGCTCTGAGGGAACTTAAAAGGCCCAGATCAAGCCCCAGGGGAGTCTTATTAGGTGTGTGAAGAAGAGTCCAGAGGATAAGGGACCAAGCAGCAGGTCAGGAACTCCTCACACTCCTTAAACTGAAAGAAAAGGGCAAAATAACTCAATTCTAACAGTTCCTTATTTTATTGCAGTACATCAAAGTCTGGTTAATTAGGTGATACCAACATAAAATATTGGTGAGGAATCCTTTGTTACATTTTTGACTATCCCACTTTAAACATTTCTGTGCAAAAAAATCCACATTATAGTTTGGTACTAGATAATCTCTCAGGAAGCTCCCTAAGACATCGAGGGCATAAAACCAAATGAGTGACAGGCGGCCAAAGCAGTATCCACCCCTTCCACACACACACACTGGTTGGTGTTATACGCTAAACAAAAATGATTACACCTAGGCCATGCAAAACTGTACAGTAATATTACAACGAGAAAAAAAACCCTAGAAATTTATAAAATAAATGATAGCAAATAAAAAGGTCATTTTGTTTTCAGAGACATTGAGGCTGACACGGTGGTCCGTTTCCCATGACTGCAGCCTTGCCCTGTGTAAAACTTGTCCCTGGGAAGGGAGAACGCGCCAGAGTGCTGCCAGAGCTGCAGGAGACATACCAGAGCAGGGCTCTCCTTACCCAGCAGGGCTCCACAGAGAGCTCTGGACTTGAGAAGAATGAAGGTTTTAACAAGGAATGAGCTGCTCAAGAGGGTGCAGTGAGATGCCATGCAGCCTGACAGGGTTGGCAGGGGCAGGGCAAAGGCTAGGTGGAGTGGGAAGTCCCAATTAATTCCCTGTCATACCCAGGGGACTTGGCCCATAGCAAACCTGCAGCAGGAATGTCAGCTGATCTGAGTACCCCTGTGCGAAAGGGTGGGGGACTCACTCAGGCCCCCAAGTGGGGAGAATTCAATGTCACTGCCAAGGCTGGTGCATGGCCTGCTGCATCTGGGAGTGGATGTCTGTGCCCCCGACTCTGGCTTTCCTTTGATACCTGAGATTCCACATAAGCTGGTCTTTCTCAGAAGAGATATGGTCATGAAGTAACAAAATGACATAATTCTAATGTATGGACGGAGAGGCTGAGAGCCAGTGGGAATGACATACTGTTGCTGTAAACACGACAGGAATTTCAGATACTCCCCTGATGCTTGGCTACAGGAACTGGTTGGAAAGACAAACAGACGGGTCATTTGTAGTTGTATCCCAGTCTTAAAGCTGTGCTCCTTGGGAAAGAAGAATGCAAATGTCTAAATGTAGGGAGTGTGTGTGTGTGAGAGAGTGTGTGTGTGTGTGTGTGTGTGTGTGTGTGTGTGTGTGTATTAATAACTAACAAAGTAGAATCTGCTTTAGCAATCATTTGACAAGTAGGAAGGCTTTTGTTTTTGGCAAAAAGAAATATGTATATTTTGTACACCCAAAAAACACACAACAGATTAGCCAGAATTGAAGGGTAAATAACAAACGGGCTGGGCCTGTAGCACCAAGAGCGAACCAACAGACACTATGCCAGAAATGCCTCTGAAGTGCATTTTTTCTTCCTAGTAAGAAATTAGTTTCTGTTGCCACACACATTAAAAAAAAATCCTGCATGGGAGGGGAAAAAATGATTTCAGACAGCTAAATAACCTTTCTGTGATCTTTGTTACTGACCACCTTGAGGGATCTGTTTCTGTCTCCGGAAACCTGCTGCCCATCTTCCCCCATCACCCTCCAAAGCTTCTGGCAGGAACATACTTCATATAAGGCTGGGATGAGTCCAGTGAGACAGTCATTATCTCAGGAGAATTCTCCCCAGTACTCCTCCCCTGTGGTTCCATCCCAGTGCTGCTGGTGTCTAACATACTTTGGGTGGGGGACAGCTGTAAGAATGCCTGGATCTGTGGCTGCGGTGGAAAACTCACCAAGAGCTCCAGGAGCCCTTATGGACAGCAGGGCTCACTGCAGGGAGCTGAACTTTAGGTAGGTTTAGACTGTGATTCTAAAAGGGTCCTTTTACAAACATTCACCTGTAGGCAACAAAATTCACAATTAGTTGTCAAAGCAACAAACTAGTGGCTCAGTGCAGAGTCCAGTCAGTCTCAGCCTGGTCAGCTTTCTGCCTGGGAAGAGGGGAGAGAGGGAAGGGTGTGGGGCTGAGGGAAAAGGACAGGAGGGGAGCCAGACAGGCACTTGTCTTGCTGAGCCCATTCTTTCATGCCAAGTTCAAGCAGATACAGCAATGACCAAATTCAAAGTCTGACCCTTGATATTCCGATGTACAAAGTGATGACACTTCTTTTCCAAAAGCAAAAGTGTCTGGGAGATGAGAGTTGCACAGTGCCCGTCCAAATTAAAACGTACTCATATCTGAGCTGGTGGCACATTCAGAATGTTCCGTGTCAAAGCTGTTCTTTTAAAACTCCTATCAGAGGGGTTTTCTTTGCAGTCTTCTATCCCTGAATTCTGCAACCTCTTTCATAAGGCAGTACACCTGGGGAGTCCAGCCCGCCAAGTGGCTTGCTGTGCCAGGTGTCAGTGAGGTGGGTAACTGCTTAATTCCATTTTAAGTATGGTTTAAACAGGGGAGAAAATTGCTACTTTTTGTGAAAAGTAAAAGTGGAAGATTATTTATACAGGGTATTTCGTGTCTACCTTTTTCTCTTGTGTTCTTAGCTGGAGGGACACGTGGGAATAAGCTCTGGTTCTACACCTTGCTTCCCGGGGGAAGTGCAGCAGAGGTTAGGAGGGGAAGCTGACCCTAGGAGCCACAGGGTGGGTGGGGCTAGGGACTGGTGGGGGGGTTGTCTTTCTCTAGGGCTCCCCTCCCACCTATGCATTGGGCTCCTCTAGCCCCTCCCACAGGACGGAGGGAACATTTGGTCAAGGCTGCTCAAGCCCATGTTTTTTTGTGGTTTTTATGATTTAGTAATGAAATGCCTTCCCAGCCAAGACTCCTGTGAGGAAGCGCACACCCACCCTTAATCAAACCAGTCTCCTCTAGAGGCTATGCTCAGACACCCACCTGCAATCTAGGGAGGGATAGGATTTGGTCAAGAAGGGGCAAAAAAGCAGTTTCGTGAACCATTTCATGATCTTCAGAAGCTGTGATTCTTGTGTCCTTTCTAATGGAAAAGGTCAGAAGGTGTTAGACCTGTACCTTCACATTCACCTGTGTGAGATACCAAATGGGAAGGAGGTATGTTCAAATTCTACCACTAGAGGAGGTGGTGTGGAAGCCTGTTGCCTCTGATGAGGCTGGAGCAGCCGTGATGCTAACTCTGGTGTCCAGGGCGCACCCCACTGATGGCACCAGGCTCCACAAGTTCCTTACAGCTCTCCAGGTGATGGTGGCACCCACCACTGGGACCTGACTTCTGCTCTCTTTTCAAATGCTACTGGAGGCCTTTTTACCCTGTACATGACAGCTGGGACACAGACAGAAAACAACACATTCTTTAAATTAAACGATCTTTCTTATATATGCAATCATCTTTCACTGAATACAAGATGCTTCTTTGACTATATACATTCAGTATTTAACTTCTACATTTACGTATTTAAACTCTGTATTGTAGTAAAATATGTAGTTTTAACTCATGAGGATTTCCTGGCAATAGTCAGCAGACGCTCAAGGAGGCTGCTGGGGCTACGTGAGGGCTATGAGTCTACTCTTAGTGCTGCGTCTGCACAGTCTGTCTACAAAGCTACCTGTGGGGAGGGTGCAGCGGCCCGGCTGCAGTCGGGAGGACTGGTCACCTGGACTGTAGGAAGGCGACACTGCTGCCAGGTGCATTGTGGGGGTGCAGAGTCCCTGCCTGTGGCCGCGCCCGTCCCGGGCGGCCCTGGGCTCACTGGTCCCAGCTCCCTCGGTCCGTGCTCTCCAGGGAGAGGCTCTTGGTCTTTCGGGGTGAAACCGGGCTCGGGGGGCTGCTCAGGTTGGAACTGTTGGAAGCTGTGGAATGCCTTGGCGAATCAGAATCCTGTAAAGCAAGGCAGCAGTGTGAAGCCAATGGAGAGACCAGGTGCATGATGACCCAGGGCCCCCTCCAGCCTCCTGACCAAACCACAGGTGGGCTTCTTTCCTGTCAGTCGACAATCCCTCCATGAACTAAGACAGAACAGGACATGTGCCCACAGTCCTTTCTGCAGGCCTTTAGCAACACTGGCATTTTCATTCAGAAGCCATTAGAAGCCATGTGAAGGCCTTGCAGGGCCTGCTGAAAGTGGAGCAGCTGCTGCAGGAGAGGGCGAGGCAGGGGGTGGGGGGGTGGGATCACCGGGGACTAAGATCACCCATGGCCCATTAACCTCTCCGTCATAGTCCCTCGCAGGGGCGTCACTTCCTTGGTCCATGCCTCCGGATGACAGAGAGCCCTCTGAAGGGGAAGGCATGGGCTGTCGCTTTGTATTGTAGCTTCCTCCAGAGAATTCCCTCTTCAGTGCACTGCCATTCTGAGCGGAGGACCCTATAACACCATTCAGGAAAAAGCTGACATATATGGAAGAGGACATTCCTGTAGAAAGTGTACAGGCTGCCAAGACAGCAAGTCACCCTCCCGAGGAACAGGAAGCCCAATGTGAAAGGCCGTTTCTGGCTCTCTGGCAATGGGGACCTCCAGGGTTTGGGCAGCAGTCTCTTTGCCCAGACAGTCATTCCTCCACTGCCTAAGGAATCTCCCATCTGCAGGGAGACTCAGCATCTGGTAAGCTTGTCTAACATACATGCAGTCCTGCTATCGTCAGGAGTCGGCCTTTCTTAAAATAGACAGGACATCTCTTCCCAGCCAGGCCTGAGCTCACAGCAGGTTCAAAACCGAGCTGCGGTTACAGCAGCAGGGGACAGTCATCCCTAGACGATGACTGCCACCCTACATGGTCTACCACATCCCTTCCAGAAATTCTCATAAAAAAAGCAGGAGGACTGGAGAGATGGCTCAAGTGGTTAAGAAGCACTGGTTGCTCTTGCAAGAGGGCACAGGTTCAGATACCAGCACCAACATAGCGGATAACAACCATCGTAACTCTAGTTCCAGGGGATCCAACGCCCTCTTCTGACCTCCCTGGGCATTACAGGACATGAGTGCACTTACATACATGCAGGCAATACAGTTATATACATGGAAACAAAACAAAAAAAGACAGCCAACCAACCAACCAAACAAAAAAATGAAGGAAACACAGAAGCACTCTCACCCCACAGGGCAAAAAGCCTGATAGCAAAATGAGGGCAAGTTTCTTCATGATCATACTCAAAAGTATTTTGGCCAGTGTTGGGACACATAACGGGGACCAACGGTGTTCACAGCAAGAAAAAGGAAGAAATAACTCTTTCGAAACTTGCGGAGGATTGTTAGCACCTATTCACAGCTCCCCAGGTTCCTTAATGATTCTCTAGTTTTTGTTTAAAAAAGTTTTAATCTTGGGAGCTGGAGAAATGGCTCTGCAGTTAAGAGCATGGCTTGATCTTGCAGGGGATCCAGATTTAGTTCCTATAACCTACATGGCAGCTAACAACCATCTCTAGTTCCTGGGGATTTGATGCTTTCTTCTGGCCTCTGTGGGCACTGCATGCATGGATGCACTTACAAAATACAGGCAAAACAAAATAAAAATAAATTTTTAAAGGTTTTAATTTTGGGGCTGGAGAGACAGCTCAGCAGTTAAGAGCACTGACTGCTCTTGCGGAGGACCCGGATTTGATTCCCAGCATTCATATGGTGGCTGACAATCATCTGTAACTCTAGTTCCAGTGGATCTGACTTCCTCTTCTAACATCTGAGGGTACTGCATGACATGAGTGCACTTACGCACATGCAGGTACTACCTTCATACATGTAAAACAAAAAATTTTTAAAAGTTTTAATCTTGTCAACCTTCAATACTACAACCAATGGTTGAAACCACTAAGATATACTCTGTTTTGACATCCTACTGATTTTATAAATTCCTCCTTTTAAAAAAAATATTTTATTATTTTTATTTTATGTGTATGCGTGTATTGCTTGCATGTAGGTAAGTGCACTCGTGTCATGCAATGCCCGTGGAAGAAAGAAGGTCAGATCCCCTGGAACTGGAGTTATGGACAGTTGTTAGCTGCCATGTGGGTACTGGGATTCAAACCCGGGTCTCCTGCAAGAACAGTCAGTGCTCTTAACTGCTGAGCCATCTCTCCAGCCCCCTATAAATTTCTCCTTTACATTAGGAATTCAATGAAAATATCACCAGCTGAGAACAGCATGTTTATCAATTGACCACTAAGTACCCATAAAGACACTGTGCAGAACCTGCCAGGTAGACTGTCCTTGGTACCCCAGGCCTCTTTCTTCCCTGGTGGTCAATCACTCACAGGAGTCAGACAGGCCTGCTTCTGAGTGACCCTCACACCTGACCCTTTGCAGAGGTCACCAGCACTGCTTGTAAACATGGCATTATGGTGCTTTAAAAATACAACTATGTAAGTACCCATAAAGACACTGTGCAGAACCTGCCAGGTAGACTGTCCTTGGTACCCCAGGCCTCTTTCTTCCCTGGTGGTCAATCACTCACAGGAGTCAGACAGGCCTGCTTCTGAGTGACCCTCACACCTGACCCTTTGCAGAGGTCACCAGCACTGCTTGTAAACATGGCATTATGGTGCTTTAAAAATACAACTATGACTCCTATCCTCAGGCCTCTTGGGGTAAGTCCATAGTGCAGCCCTCCGCGCCTTGACTCCCCCAGCCACATTCACCCTTCCATCTCCCCC